AGTAGTAGTAGTAGTAGTAGTAATAGTAGTAGTAGTCGTAGTCGTAGTGGTAGTGGTAGTGGTAGTAGTAGTGGTAGTGGTAGTAGTAGTGGTGGTGGTAGTAGTAGTAGTAGTAGTAGTAGTAAAGTGGTAGTAGTAGTAGTCGTCGTCGTCGTCGTCAGCGTCGTCGTCGTATTTATTGTTACTGTGGTCGCAGCAGTAGCCGTAGTGGTCGTGGTAGTGGTCAGTGGTGGTGATAGTGGTAGCCGGTATCCTTCAGCCGCGAGGCGTTCAACGTTTGGGACAAGTCCGGGCCTTGAAGGAGCTCTACTCCTGGTCAGGCAATGAGTCAGAGTACAGCAGGCGGAAATTGGAAAGCAGTAGTGAGTTGAAGCCTCGTTGCATTGCGGTCAGGTGCCGTGAGAACATGTTTAAACTTGGACACAGTTAGTGAAGTTCAGTGCTCAGGCACCAACAAGGCTACATCCCCTGGAAACCGGACTTTGCCAGCCTTTGGAGATCTATAGGCTCTGGCCCTGATGCCGATGATCTGGTTGGAAGTGTCCGTTATGCGATGTCGGTATTTGGATGTGCTCGGAACGTGACATTGTATCTGTACCTTCAGTGCGGTCTGGAAACCATGTGTGTGTGTGTGAAGCAAGGTACCTGTTGTGGACGGATGTCGCACTTCTCTCACACCAGAATTGCGCTGGTGATGCGGCAGGCCAAAACCCGACAGAGGGGGAGATCCGGCGAATCATTGAGGAGAACGACACCGGGACAGGCCGCCGTGCCTTTCGTTCTGCGTGAGAGCAGCTGGTGTCAGTGAGAGGTTCCCCGAAGAGACAGGTCACTTTCAGTTGGAGACCTTCCTCAAGCTCTGCGAGTCACGCGAGGATGCCCTGCGCAAGGAGCAACTCATCGAGGTGCGATCTTCGAACCGGCACCTAAGACGTTCTGTTCTAGCTGTGCATCCGATTGATGAGAAACGTGTATCACACCAACAGCAGCTTGAACGACACGGCGAAACACTTTCTGCTTTCATCAGGCGAGTTATGAAGATAGCCCTAAACTGCTGACAGACAAGGACGACTCGGTGTCTTTTAGAAGAACTTGTTGAGGCCTTCAAGACCTTCGACAAGGATGGCAAAGGCACCATTACGCTTGCGCAATTTCGCTATGTGGCTCGAATGTATCTTCTTCCCAAAGCTTGAAGATCGGCACACTATCTTTGTTTTACTGTTCTGACCAGCGCCGGACTGATTTTCTGGCTTAGGTGCTGATGCAGCTCGGAGATCCATTGGATGATGAGGAAGCAGACCAGTTTGCCTCTCGTCTGCATCGCAATCAAGCCTCTCTATAGGGACTGCAATGTCAGCGCACCGGCTTCTAAGAGTAGCGGGGAGTCGAATCCACGCACCATGCCTCCGCAGCACACTCAGATTGAATTCGCGGACAAGAACAAAGAGGGACCCTCTGCCGAAATCGACTACGAGGACCTCGTGGAGAGGCCATGAACAGTCTTTCCGAAGCCCTGATTTGAGCCCTGATTTGAAGTCTAGTACATTTTTAGAGACAGAGGCGAGGCAGGTTGACGAAGCCATCGCAGGTTGGACACGCGGGACCAAAAGTTCTGAGTCGCAGCAATGGCTGGATGCCCCGGGCATCAACTTGCAACCCACTGCCACAACGTTGTTTTTTCCCAAAGCATGTGCAGCTTCGTTTCACATCCCAGCCTGGCGGGATTTGCATGACAGTGCTGTGGACTGCTGGCCAGCATTGGAAAGCACAGCGTTATCTTGTGAATACTTGCTGAGAGATCCTTTCCGATGACACGCAATCCCTCAACCCAGGGCATGGTCTGAGGGCCTGATCTGAGTCTGTTCGGCGAACAGATGGCACAGAAGATCGAAGTGCTCGACAGGGCCTGCAACCACGGCGTGGGCGCATTCGGCCTTTAACAAGAAGGCCCGATCAATTTGGTAATCTCCGTTTGCCTCCATGCTGGTTCTCTCCATCTCTGTCCCACAGGATCGTATTCTGTTGGATGCCATCTCCAAGGAGGTGATGCAAAGGCACCACTCAATCGACTGGGGCCAGGTCTCTTAACTTCATGCTTCTGCTGTTCGAGTGTGGGTCTGTGAAGGTTATACGAGATAGAGCCACAATCCTTGGGCATCCTGGTGAAGCGCCCAGTACGTCAAGAGTTCAGTCATGGGTCATGTTCCCAAATCACAAGCAGCCAAGGCGGATGCCCAGCTGGGGTGTCAGCCGCAGCTGGAACAGGCACTGCGCCCATTTGCACAAAGGCCACCCTGCATGCAGTGCCAAAGACTCATGCCTGCCAAACACGGTCGCAGAGCCGTCATATAGTGCTGAACAGGTTCGCTGACCTCATGCCGCGAGGGCTGGACGACTCCACCATGACCGCGCCAAGACCCTAGGTGACACGCAAAAATCCTGACGCGTTGCTAGGCTGAGCTCGTGCGTCCATTCGCATGAATGTACATGCCAGCCAGGTTCATGCAACTCGTGCGGGAAATCCGCGTGGACAACTTTGGTGCATGGGGTACTCGGCACGTCTTCCAACAGATGGGGTCAGAAGCTGAGAGGAGAAAACAACACGCGCCTCGTATGAGCTTGTCAAAGCTGCTAACGGCAGCGGGCGAACGCCGTGTGCACGCTAGCCGTGGTAACAGTGCCACGCAAACTGCCGACAGAAGCCCAAAGCATTGCAGTCCCGTCGCACGAAGTTCAGCAGGCATTCGGTCGAAATTAAGTCGGTGCTAAGGGAGGCTTCTGAGTTTCGTTGGTCTGAAAGTCATTGTAGGGCCAAGCCAGTCCCTGAACGTCAGGTTGGCGTCGCCCACACAAGACTTCTTGGACCGGGCACAAGGGGAGCCCGGACCTCAGAGTGGTTTTGAGAGCACGGCATTTTGCCTTCCAGCCCAAATGCCCGCCCAGGATTCTGAAGGCTGGCACTGCGGTTGGTGCGGACGAAGGCACGGTCACGGCAGTCGCAGAGACAACCGGCCTGGTTCATGCTGGTTCCTCAGGCGATGCGCGACAGGGCGTCTGACCCCTGGAATGCAAGTGTGCAGCAACCACAGCGGTGTTTGTCCAAGATCGCCTTGTGCTCTCCGGCTGTGTCTGGTTGCTGGCCCGAAACATCATTGCAACAGTGCGGTTGTTGGTGCCAAGTGTGGATGTGTGCTGTTGGCCAGATCCATCTTGTAGATATGGTCGCGCAAGTCAGCAGTAAGCTGCAGTATATATACTGATTATACTGTCAATCGCTGGGACCTATTCCATTGCTCCACATGCTGAAACCATGAACTCACAAGCACAAGACTAGAAGACTTCACTTTCTAGCCCCAGCTGCTCCTGCATGATGCAAGATAGAAGTAGTTGGTGGTAGGTTAGGTGCTGCTAGGCCAGGTGCGATCGGGACCGGCATTTCGGGGGCAGTGCGGCGTAGTGTAGTGCGGACTTGGCCGTGCTGACGCGACGATGAAGCCATGATCAAGGACCTCGCAGCTTGTGTACTTACACGCCTGAGTTGTGCCTATTCAATGCCGTGCGAGTCGTAATTGTTCCTACTTGTCATTTGGCAGCATGTCAGGGGATGAAAAAGTTCACACGGTGTTCCATGCTGTCGAGTTGATGCGGGTCTCTGTGGCAGGCTTAATGGAGGACTCCGAGTTGCTCAAGGCCTTGCGTGGGGCAAAGCCTGGATGGACCCAGCAGGTGCGAATGTCGAAATTTCTGGCGAAACGATGGGGATGAGAGGTTTCAAGATGAAAAGCTCCGCAGCTACTAGCTCTTCGCAGTCTCAGCGACGAAGCCTGACCTTTGTTTCTGAGTCGAACCTGCCCAAAAAATTCCTATCTTGCTAATTGAACAAAGCCTAGCCATGAAAGAAGAGTCATACCGAAAAATGGGCCGCCCGAAATAACACCTTTATCATTATTACGACCCCAAATTTAGTTGTTTGAGCATCCGGTAACAGGTCGCCGGCTTGTAGGCTTCCTACAATGCCACGGCGATCGGCAGAATCGGGCCGAAGAATTGTTGTATTCATTCGACCCCATAGTTTCTGAAAGGTGACTGTTAGTGGTGCTGCGGAGTTGTATCCAGGATCTGGTAGCGGTTCAGCGGAAGCTGGCCAAGGACTGGGCCGCCCGCATCAGACAAGTCAGATCGGATTATGAGCGGCTCTTGCGCAGGTTGGCATCCGGAGCTCGGAGGAGCTTTCAAGTTCTTTGAGTGGAGCCCTCGTATCGGGCAAGCTTGTATCGTCTCTCACTCAGAGGGATGCTTAGGCAGCTTAGGCAGCCTGAACGAGCTGCTGCAAGGCGCAGGGTTCCTGCCCCTCTGCGGCATCTTGCAGTTGTGACAGATTAGAGCCGAGTTGTGTCGAGCGTTGGACAAGGGCACCGCGCGGCTCAGGAAGTTCAGTGCCGACACTCTGCAAGCGTTGCGAGAACGGCTGCCGCAAAACGACAGCTCTGGCGCTCAGTGCCATCGGGCCAGCGTTTTAACCAGAGAGTGTCGTAATGCCATGCATCAGATGTAAAGGGGCTCTCGCGGCGGTTCCGCCCCCCCCTGCTAACTCACGTTCTTTCCGCAGTCCTGCTCCCCCATCTTCCGCAGAAGACCGCCGCATTTCTAGCCGTGCTATTTCGGACCAAAGCACTCGAATTCGCCGAAGTCGCGTGGCACTCTTCGTTTTATCGGGGCTCCTGGGTGTTTCGACATCCGTCAGTTCCAAGAGGTTTGGGAATTTGGCCAACTCGAAATGCTCCTGCCACAGCGATTTGCGCAATTTGCATTCATGAGAGAGGGAGAGGGAGTTGCTCCTGGAATGGTTCTTATTCTTTCTTAGTTATGTAGGCTTGGTTGTCTTTCGTTGATTTGGTCTATGCTGGCAGAAAGCCGATCGGGTGGTGCTTAGCCACGGCCGCGAGGGTGTCCACTATCTACAGACTGCGCAGATCAGACGAAAGATTCATGCGTGCTGGCCATGGATGAGGTGGATCGCAACCCAGCCGGTTCGACTTGCAACAAGGCCAAGCCACAATCATAGGAGTGCACCATAGTGCACCAGCAGCTTCTTGCAGAGGCTCGATCTGGACTTCTGAACTCGAGCAGGTTGGCACCATCCCCGACATGGTTATCCTGCCGGCGGCTTCGGACGTACGAAGGGTGGCAAGGCTTGCTGCACATGGACCCAATTACTGAGTATGCTCTCACGTGTATAGGTGGGCTTCGGTGGGCCAAATCCCAACAGCGTCTTCAAGCACGCACAGCAGAAAGAGGCCCCTCTTTGCGAGGACGACCTGTGGAAGGCCGGCTGTAGGTAGAAAGAGTGCCGCACAGCTAACACCCAAAACCGGCGAGCATGAGCGCATTCTACTCTTGATGCTCCGGTGCAAATCTGTCAAAACACCGCTTGTTGCAACACGCGCGAGGTAGCGACACACACAACACGCAAAAACACGCAGAGGGCCGGCACTTTAGAGCCTGTCCTAAACGCATATTCAATCATTTTCCTTGCGTCCGGGAATGAGGGAGATGTATTCTTCATCGTATGTTGCTTGCAGCAAGAGGGGAGGAGGGAGGGGACATGCAGTGCGTTCTCGAAGCGCGTGCAAAACGTATTCTGGTGGCGATCGGGGGGAGGGGACAGTGCGTTTGCCAAAACGAACTTTGTTTTGTGGCTGGAAGGGAGGAGGGAGGCCGTCCAACACGGTCTTTGTTTTGCGGCCAGAAGGGACGGGGCAGTGCGTTTGCGGACCGTCCAAAACGCACTTTGCTTCGAAGCCGAAAACAGGGGCACCCCCCAGCCCACAGCCCACGCCAGCCCACCATCGCCCAGCCGCTCAGCCGGGGGGGGGGAGGGGTGGCTTGGGCTCGGGGCTGGCTGTAAGGGCAGAGTGTTACTGCGTCTCCTAGAAACGTCGTGCATTTGGTCGCCTCAGGGTGCGAGGTTTTGACATTGAATAACGAAATGATTGCCGCTGCGTTTTCCCTGCTTGCAAAAAGCGCACAATACTTCCCGGTGCATTGCGTTTTGGATGGCCCCAAAAATGCACTTCCACTCTGACCCTCCTCCCTGCTGGCCGGCAGCAAAATGCGATTGGAATGGTCCCAACAGTGAATTCCACTCCTGCTGGACTCCTACTGTGTCTCCTACAAACGTCGTGCACTTGGGTGGTCTCAAGGTGCGAGGTTTTGACATTGAATAAGGAAACGATTGCCGCTGCGTTTTCTCTGCTTGCAAAAAGCGCACCATACTTCCCGGCGCATTACGTTTTGGAAGGCCCCCAAAATGCACTTCCACCCAAAATGCGATTGGAATGGTCCCAACAGCGAATTCCACTCCCGCGGGACCCCTACAGTGTCTCCTAGAAACGTCGTGCATTTGGTCGCCTCAGGGTGCGAGGTTTTGACATTGAATAACGAAACGATTGCCGCTGCGTTTTCCCTGCTTGCAAAAAGCGCACTATACTTCCCGGCGCATTGCGTTTTGGATGGCCCCGAAAATGCACTTCCACCCAAAATGCGATTGGAATGGGCCCAACAGTGAATTCCACTCCTGCTGGACTTCTACTGTGTCTCCCACAAACGTCGTGCACTTGGGTGGTCTCAAGTTGCGAGTTTTTGAGATTGAATTATGAAACGATTGCCGCTGCGTTTTCTCTGCTTGCAAAAAGTGCCACTTCCCGGCGCAGTACGTTTTTGGATGGCCCCAAGAATGCACTGCCTAAAAACACACTCCCACCCTTCCTGCTGGCCGGCGGCAATGGCCCCCAAATGAATTCCACTCCTACTGTGTCTCCTAGAAACGTTGTGCATGTGGGTTGCCTCCAAGGTTTTCGCATTGAAAAAGGAAAGATCCTGCAAAGTGCGTTGTCCCGGCCTGCAAAAACGCACTGCGGCAATCTGGAGGGAGAAAAGGCACTAGTCGATGCAAGGCACACCAACACGCACGACACGTAAAACACAGGCAGACATCCCACACGCATGTGTTTTGACAGCTTTGCGGTGGTGGTACTGGTATGAGGGTGTCGCCAAATCAGGACTGGAAAGTCGTTGGGACACCTGTTCCGGAGCCTATTGCGCCGAGAGCTTGCGCCATGTCGAGCAGCTTGACTCAGCAGCATAGCATTAAGATTGGACTTCCTGTCGCGGGATGTTGATTTCGAGGGCTGCCGTCGTAAGACTGCCCGCGAAGTCATGTGCGCTGCGAGGCTATGCTGCAGAACTGGAGGAAATGGACAACGAGGAAGATGAAGATGATGAGGCTACGTCTGTACTGAGCGGGTAGAGGTGTCGACCGTTGTCACATTGTCCAACAGAACAGGCTCAGGCACTACATGGTCAGTTTGTGCGGCAGCAGCTAGGGCAGCTAGGGTAGATCGATAGCTAAGTTCTATCGCTGCAAGAAGTGGCAGGAGGATGAGGATGCAGACTCCTGCCTGTCGGACGATGAACTCATGACATTGTGCCTGAAGTGGCAAGTCCTCCGCGCTAGCTCCATCGCATTTTGCGGCAGCGTGGCTTCGCGAGGTTGTCTGACAACACCTGAGGTGCTTGGCCAAGAAAGTTCCCTTGATCCAGCTGCAGAGCAACAAGCGCGCGATCCAACTATTGCGGCAGTTGGACAGACTTGACAAAAGCTCAATCTCCACTTTGAAGAACGAATACAAAAGATCCTCGGCTCACGTCTTCGGTGCGGCTATAGTGATGCCGTTTGAGAGTGACAGTTTGCCAGGGTGATTTTCAGATTGCCAGACTGCCAATACTGTATTCGTTGGGTGCCAAGGGCGCGGTTTCGCTTTTGAAGCATCGATTCGCAAAGAGAGCAACCTGGCGCGAACTTGAGATGACTGCTTGCTGCTTCTACTGGAGTTGTCCAGTGCATGCTTGCGCCTGGTTATGAGGCCTGCTGGCTTCCGTGAAAGAAGTGGCCGTTTACGAGAACTTGATGCTGGAATGCAGACTTCCAGTTTAGAAACGTGTGATTTTGAGGCAGCTGGGGTTAGGACAGCACTCCAAGCATGTTTGAAG